TTCTCTCTCTCTCTCTCTCTCTCTCTCTCTCTCTCTCTCTCGTGTGTAATTTAATTTAAAAATGTATGTATAGAAAATTGAAATTTTAAAAATTATATATAATTATAAATAAACAATATATTATTTTAATAGATAAATTAAGTTCAATTATTAAATTATACCTTTTATCACACTGATCACAAGGAAATCTATTTTTCATAGTATCTGGTAAATGACATCTGCTATGAATATATAAAGCACTTTGTTGCCTAAATGCTTTTCCACAAGTTTGACATATATGAGGTCTCTCCTCACTGTGAATTGCTTTGTGAGAATCTAATACCTTCTTATGTACAAATGACTTTCCACAATCTTCACAACTTTGTAACATTTATAACATATATTAAACAGTTTTATTAAAAATTATTATATGTTAAATATTTTATATGTATATAAATATATATATTAATAAATATTTTTTACCTGAATTTTGTTTTGTTTTTATGTCGTTTGACATGAGTAAGAAAACCATAATATTTATCATAAACTTTACAACATAATACACACATATATTTTGCTTGTTGATTGTGAATAGTTTCATGATGTTCTTTCAATTTTTCTAAACTGGGTAATTTATCATTACAATCAGTGCAAAGCCATGGATATCTATTTAAAGATTCTTCTCTTTTACGTCCAAATTTTAAAATTTCTACAGCATGTGCTTCTATTATTTCTAAATCTGTATCTGTACCTATATTGGAAAATTATATTTTATATAAATATAATTATAAATATAATTTTTAAATAATTAATGTAATTTTATTAAAACTTTAATGTATAAATGTATAAGCTATCCTGTAATTTATAGTATAAAAGAAGTTAGAGAGATTCTATAGTTCAAAATATAAAATAAAAATAATAAAATAATATTAGAGTACCATTTTCAAAAAGATTAATTTAAAAATTAATAAAATATATATAATTGATTAATTACTAAGATATAAGTCTAATTATTCTTGAAAATAAAGTCTTAAACAATAATGTAATCTTATATATTTTACTTATTTTACTACATTTTACTATATGTAAAATATTTTTATATCTATTTCCATATATATTTAAATGAGAATCAATTAAATTTATGTATTTATAATATTCTATATTTTATGTGTAAGTATTTTATTTTTATTTTCTCGAAAACAATTTCAACATAATTTTCAACTTATTTTATATTATAAAATCTCTTTAACTGCATTTGTATTGTATGAATAATGATATATTGAAATTAAATACTACTTTTTTTAAATATAAGATATTTAAAAAAAAAAAAACTAAAAATTTATATGATATATAGAATTAGTTAAAAGTATTTGATAAGTAGTGATAAGAAATAAAAAAAAAAATAAATAAATATAAATAAAGAAATTCAGAAAGAGATAATCAAATAAAATGAAAAAATTTATTAAGTTATTTTATTATTTATAAAATTTATTAATTTATTTATAAGTTTATTTATTAATAAATTAAAAGAAATAATTTTTAAAGATCATTATATCCAATGTTATTGTAAAAAAAGTTGTATATAGATAGTTGTATATAGATAGTTGTATATAGATATTTCTTCAAATATTTTATAATATAAATTTATAATATAATATAAGTTTTCTAGTTTTTAATTTTCAATTCTATTATATATTATTATTACCTAATAATTGGAAATTGTATGGCCACTTCTTGTGTTACATTTATTTATTTTTTGTTTGGAGATTATTTTGTACTAATAAATTATATATAGTAATAATTAAGCGAATCATCCTTAATTACAAATTTTAGATTTTCTTGTTTAAAAACGAATAATTACTATACTTTTAATCATTTTTTTAGAGTTTTTGAAATAAATTTCTTCAACTTTGCTTTCATCCGTTCTACATGAATTTTAACATATAAAAATAACAATAACAATTAAATATTTTTTCAAGAACTACATTATATATAATTTTGATCATTTATATTTTGGAATTATTCCATTAAAGTTTCAAATGTTT